TGAGTTGGAAGTAAGTCATTCGAATTTATCACCGGAGTTTAGTGAAAACGGAACCCATGGATCTTAGGGTTGCAAACCAAACCTGAGTTCTTTTCGGAAGACTGTATTTTGAGTCTGAAAGTTTTAAAACCTGATTTGAACAAATGAGCCCCTCTTATATTCATTAGAGTCTAGCTTTGGAGCTGCTCATTTAAGAATTATATTTAGCAAAGTGTGTCATTCCCGATTTGACTTACCTCACTGCTCCTTGTACCAACTTTAATATTCGACAAAGCGTGAGCACCATACCGTCTGACGAATTTTGAGTTATCCCCTTATATATGAGTCAGGACCAATCATCCTATTTATTCCTGATTCTACTTTTTGCCCGTTATAGCCTCGCCCTACTTGATGAGGACCTCTCTGTCCTAGTTGGATTAATCTGTTCAATTACACGACCTCCACTAGGAGACTACCTACGATTTAACTGAGACTTCCCATAGAAGTACCCTGGTAGCTAAGAACGTCTTCATTACTCCTCCTACACCAGTTCCTTAGACCGAACACTTTTGACCTCTTTTGTGACTCGTCCACTGTTCTGCATCATGTTCGTGTGAGTTAGTTATGTTTGTGTGAGTGTTGTAGTCTGTTGTCTTCCTAATTTATCTGTTGTTTTAAACTTTTGTAAGCTCAATGAGTCTTGTCAATCATCTTGCACACTCGATCTCCTTGCATTTGCATCTACATGTCACCTTCAGGAGTTACTCAACGAAATTAAAAAAGGAAAATTGAACAAAGTAACACCCATTTTAAAATTATTGCTGATAATAAATAGGTTCAAAGAATTCAAAGTTGGAGACTTTGTGATGGTACGAGAAGTTGCATGCTCGAGGCACCGGACACATTTAAGATAATCTCAAAGGTTAATAGTAATGCCTACGTACTAGACCTCTCTTGAGGCTTATAACATGAATCCTACATTTAATATAGAAGACCTATTAGCCTTTGAAGGACCCGAATCTTAAACCCCAAAAATCCACTCAAATTAGCCTTGTGTGACCCCACATGGTGAGATCCCCAACCTAGCTCCACTCCCCAATTTACCTTACTCACCTATAGCGGAGAAGATCGAAGCATACTAGATGATGAGGTCATTTCACAAAGGAAAGTGGGCGCCGACGATACCGAGTTCATTGGAAAGGGACACCGGAGATAGAGGATACTTGGATTGACAGGGACGAGCTACAGAGCCTAAACCCAGATCTCCTAGAGTTGTACGAGGGCTCCATAGATATCTACTCGACGGGGTCGAGTTTTCTCCCACCTGGGGAGAATGATGAGGACATCGTCAGCATTTTCGACGCCGGAGATCGATGGTTACGAGCATGAGTTGTATTTTTCATTATTTTATGTAGTAATTTTATTTTTATTTATGTTTTTCCGTTTTTTGCCCTTATGGGTTATTTGGCCGCTATTGTATGCCCAAGGGGCATTTTAGTATTTTGCGTTCTTTGTCATTTTGAGGCCTATTTATATGGCCCTCTGCTTATGTAATAGTAGTTTTGGAGATGAAATGAAAATTAATTTGTGTTCTCTTTGTGAGTGCAAAACCTCCACGATCTCTTAGTGAGTTCGTAGGAGAAGCTAGATCTCTTTGTGAGTTCTAGGTTCTATTGTTATTCCATTTTTATCTTTTTTTTTTTAATTTTCTTGATCTCGTCGTCATCACGGTGGTTCGGATGAAAGCATTTGTGGAAGATTGGAATTCACTCTTTGGATCCCTAGATTTTTCCTACCTCTTCCCCTCCCTTGCTCTTGCCGCCGCCCCCTCCCTGGATTGCCCCGGCCGCCGGCCTGCAGCCCCAAACCGCCGGCCAGCAGCCACCGGCAGTCCTCCAGCCCACCGGCCATCCTCCCCCTTTGCCGCCGCCCCTTTCCCTTCCTGCAAATTCCAGCTTTGAAATTCAGCCATGATTCAAGAGTGTTTCCTAAAGGGTTTTCCTTAATTCAATCAATGGAATTAATGGGATTTTGAATTTCAGTTTCAGATCTGAAATTAGTGGGATTTTGAATTTCAGTTTCATATCTGAAATTCAACCGTGAGATCAAGATTGCTTCTTTAGGCGTTTCCTTAATTCATGCCATTGGATTAATTGGACTTGAATTTCGATTTTGAAATTCAAAATCACCCCAATTAATTGTCTGTAATTTAGGAAACTCTTTTGTGTTTAAAGCTGAAGTTATTCAGATTTTTATTCCAATCAATTGAATAATCAAGTGGGCCCCACCTCCTCAAAACCGAAACCCCTCTCTCCTCTAGCTTGGCCGGCCCACTCCATTCCCCTTTCTCTTTTAATTTCGCTTTTAATGCTCCCCAATTAAATCCCTAAATTAAGTTCAATTCAAATTCAAATTGGGATTGATTGAATCTACTCATTCCTAATTGAAATCATTGAATAGGCAAGCATTCAAACCCTGCTCCACCCCTTCCCTCACGTTTTCTTCCCAGGAAGGGATTCTCAATAGCTGTCCAATACTTACAGCAGAACGTTCTTGCTGTCCAACTTCCCTGAAAGGTCCTCCTGGCTGCCCAATATCCTATCAACATGGAAAGCGGCTGTCCCACCCCACGGGGTGCTGTTTGGTTTGTTGTTTGAAGAGTATCAGGTGCCCAAAAGGTCTTCTCAACCATCATTTGCTGCTGTCTACACATCCCCAGATGCTGGCCATCAACTTTGGCACGTCTTCCATTGTCGTGCCTTCTTCCAGAAGGCTCCTAGTGCCGTCCATATGCTTCCACCTGCAGAAATTAGCTGCCTAGCAATTTTGGTGAAGTTCCGACACTGTTGCCGTTGTCCATAAACTTCTAAATTGCTGTCCCAACTTCGGAGAACAAGGAGGTTGCTGTTTGGAAGTTTCCAACTACTGACTATTGCTTGATAATGTTGGCGTGATCGACGAGCAAAGATCAAAGAGACATTGGATCATCATCGGACGACCGTCATCCTCCACCACTCCGGCCACCTATCCAAGAACGACGATCTTAGGCTCCTTATTCCTCGAAGTGACCTCAGTTCTAATGTGGAGACTTTTCTTCCTCTAAAGCCTAGATTAGTTGAGCGTATGGGCTCCAAAGATGAAAGTTCTCATTATTAAATTGTGGATTCTTGTTTATTGTCGTAGAATACAATTAGTCTTTGTGTTTTCTTGAATTGTTTGATTAATTGAGTTCGCTCTTCTTTGCCTAAGCAAGTTAAAAGCAAGAATCCTAAGGATCAATAATTGTTATAAGTGGTAAATTTATTTTGGGATTATTTTGTTAAATTGTTCTCTTTAATTTTCTTAAAGTAACTCCATCGCATGTTTGTTTCACATCATATTTCTATATCGGAGAGCTGCAATGTTGTTGGAGTAAGACTTGGAGGTCTTCAATTGTACAAAGGATCTAGCAAAGCTAGAGGAAGAAAGACCAAGAAATCTATGGAGCTAGAAAAATCCATCCTTAGGTAGGGAGAAAATAAGAATTCCACCTCAAAGAAGGGGTGATGAATGGGAAACCAACCCGTTAAGAAAGAGAAAGTGAAGAACATCACTATCAAGAACAATATAAGTAGATGACACTCATCATAGGTTTGCAAGAACATCATCATCAAAATTCTAGAAAGATCTCTGGAAGCCTTTTTGAGATTTTCATGCATACAACTAATTCAAATCTGACTCAACAGCTAGTTTACTAATACTGACTTCTCTTCTTATTTTATTCTTGCGCCCATGATTAGATTGAAGTATTTGGATTTGAATAGCGGTTTGCAAAGATATAGTTAAGGTGTTATTTGGCATAAAATAATGGCTATGAGAGCAAGTGTGATTAAAGGATGTGGTTGCTAACAAAGACACTAGCAAAGCGCAAACTGCTGAACGATATTTGCAACACAAATGACAGTTGGCACAATCGCTTAAAGATAATTCATTCATGTAATTGTTTGTGCATAGAGGTCTTAAAAATAAATGGCATATACTTCAGCATAATGCCGTAAGGATAATTTAGTTACAAATAAAAAATAACCACCAAAGAGAGATGAAGAATAGAACATTGATCGGATATATGCTCTAAACCTAATTTATCAATATTTATAAGATTTAGGAATAGATTTGATAAGCAAGTCTTCAGAAATGCAAACTAACAAAGTAAAAAAGAGTGGTGGCTCTACCGTGACTAAAATTATTGAATGGTTTTACAAAAACCAAGTAGGAAAAGGAACCTTTAGGTGTGGTAATAAAGGATAGAATACATGTGCACACACAAGTAACTGCACTATGGGATTTTGTCAAAAGCTTCATAGTGAAATAATACTACTACTATCTATACTAATTCCTAAGATGAGATTCCAGCATTCAGTTCTGAGAGCTTACCAAAAACATGAGAATTGGAAACACTAGCAATCGGATCTAATAAAGTTTACCTAAGCCATACCTTTTCAGGCCAAAAGAAGATCAGTTATGAATCAATTAAGACATTACTGAAAGCCAATTAATCATGAGCTATGCTCAATTCAAATAACTAACCAAAGAAGATATATCTCAATTTCTTTAATAAAGCAATAGAAGGTGCTCCTGTCCATCTGTTAGTTGCATGAAACTGACGGGTTGAAATTTAAGGGGTTGTCATTCAGATATCAGTTTAAGATGTCAATATTATCTATCAAATAATATGTGTTTAGTTTAGTGTGACCAATAAAATACAGTGTATTTAGTTTCCATGTTCAAATACCCTAACAATAAACATCATGTATATATTTATTGTTTAATGATGTAAACAAACCAATTGACTTAAAATTTGCTAATAGAATAACATTACATAGCATGCCATTGAAGCAACCAATCTCTTACCCAGAACACAGAAAATGGCTACCCATATTGAAACCCATAGGTGTAACAAGAAGATTCTCATGCATAGTAACATATGCTGAAGAAAAGTGTGGGAAAGTAAAATCAAAATATAACCGATACAACATAATTACCTCTTTAGTGGTTAAAATGTTTGCACCCTTGATGTCTCGGTGAATGACTCCTTGCTCATGCAAATAAACCAAGCCTTCCAAAACCTGTTCATAGACAGCAGCATTTACTGAAAAACAGAAACAAGTAGCAGCATATTGAGCATATGAAGCACAAACCTGGGAAATATAAACAGGTACTAATGTCTCGGGAAAGGGTCCGAAGTTGCTGGGCTTGATGATGTTTGCAAGTGAACCATTTTCAACATACCTAGAGAGAAAGATCAAGCTTAAATAGCATGAACGCAAAAGACATTACTAAACAGAAAAATAAAATCCGAACCACGACAAAAATAGAAGATACTATGAACAAAAGGAGAAGTATTTTGAATTTACTCTAGAATGATATGCAGGTGAGTCTTCGTCTTTAATGATCCAAGGTACTTCACAATATTTTTGTGGTTAAGATTCTGCAGCAGGATGATGATGATGATGGTGATAATAATGAATATGATAAATATGACAAAAAATAGTATTGAGAGTACATTTGGACTAAGCATGAATGGTTACAATTGCCACGTAAAGAAATGATTTTGATAAATTAGAAAAACCTTCTGTGTGTGTATCAAGGTCCTGATTTAGAATAATTATTAAAGCTGCAGTAAAAAGAATAAATAATAAAGGAAAGATGGGTACTTAAAGCTCTCTTTTTCTTCAAAAAAAAAAATCATTTCCTTGGCCAAAATCAATAGATCTTAAATTAATTTGCTGCAAATTCTGATAAATGCATGGTTTTCCAGCCCTTCAAAACCCATGAGTAACTTTGAAATTAATCAACAAAAACTAGGCTAACGCAGACCCAAATCAACAAAAGCTAACCCGAACACAAAACTTTGAAAATAAACTCACAAAAATCAACAAAATGTCCTCTAAAGACCAAAAACAACAAATGATTTCTACCCTACACATCATGATTGCTTGATCTTAGACAAAAAGTTTATAGTTTCATGGCCTACTTTAGGTGTATATTAAATCGGTACTGTGAAACTAGCACAGAATAATATGATAAATTAAGCATGTGGTCTAGTTGCTTTGCCAAGTAGTTTGTAGATTCAGACAAGAACGAAATTTAAGATTCATAAACAAACGTCACGCATAGATTATGAAATGCAAGCAGATGTACCTTTAGCAGATCAATTTCTTGCTGACACGTGACGTAGCAATTGCAGGAATGACATAGCAAAAAGGGAGATAAAGTGTTAGATAGATGAGTAAAAGGCAATCCATACAAGCAAAATATTTAAGGAAACAAAAAAGAGTAACGCTTATTGAAATAATATCAAAAATGACGTAGTTGCACAAAACAAAAGGAACAAATCAATCATGTTGGTCGTCATATATTTGTAAGCACCTCCAACAAAGGAACCAGCAAAATCTGACATACTCCAGTCCATGTTCATACTGTTCAGCTCTCTTACGATCAAAAGTTCCAGATAATAATGCCAAAATAATCATCTCATAAAACTTAGGATAAATAAATAAAGAGATATGAAACTTAGTAACATTTGAAAAGTTTACAGTCAGGAAACTGATGAATATAACAATCTGATAGCATCAATCTAAACATTGCTGCATCTTATAAAAAAATATATGAAGATGCAGGCAAACAACTATCAAAATCACAAGGTTACCTTCGAGTCAGCGTGACTTTACATTAAATAAGTGGTTTGGTAAACTAGATCATACAAAACATGCTTTCAATAGTTCCAATCAGCAATCAATAACAGATTAGAAATGGTAATTTAGAACAAATTGTCATTTTTGGTCCTAAACCATGATGAGAAAGATTAAGATTTGATGTTAAATCTACAACTAAACATAAAACAAATACCAAAAACAAATGAAATGAATCCTTAAAGATAAACTGCAAGCAGAGCCAAATTAAATTTTTTAGTTGAGTCAAATTTGATGTAAGATAAGATGACATGTTCCATTAAAAATTTTATTCTAGAACTTTTAGGGAAGTTCAAATATAATATTACAATAGTAAGAAAACTTGGCAGTGAAGTGAAGAAGTATAAAAGGTTTTTAAGAAAAAGATATGTACTTTTAAAAAGTGACAAAAAAAATATTGTGGAGGCTTATAATGATTATAAGATGCTATAAGCCTTGTAAAAAGGAATGTAAGCAAATCAAAAGTTGTAGCTTTAGATGATTCATTACTCAGTAAGAAGAGAGAACAACAACAACAACAAGCATTTATCCAACTAGGTTGGGTCGGCTACATGAATCCCTTCTCTATCCTATTAAGAGTTGAATTCTCATTTAAATTTAATTAGAAAAAATTCATTTCTAATATTTTCTAGTCAAGTCTTTTTAGTTCTACCTCTACCTATCTTAATATAAGTCAAATCATATACATCTACTCTTCTATCCGAGTCATCTGAAGGCTAATGTTTTATGTGTCCAAACCATCTAAGATGACTCTCTCTAATCATATCAACCACTGAAGCTACTACAACGGCCATTTCACGTATATACTCGTTTTGCATTCTGTCTCTAAGAGTGAAGCCACTCATCCAATTGAGCATCCTCATCTCTGCAACACTTAATTTTATGATCTTTTAACGGCCAGTATTTTGTGTCACAAAGCATTATAGGTCTCACAACTATCTTATAGAATTTTCTCTTAAGTTTGAGGGGTACTTTTTTATCACACAACAGGACTAACGCATTCCTAGACTTCAGCCATACAACTTGAATTCTACTAAAAATATCTCCATCTATTTCACCATCACTTTGAATGATAGACCCAATATATATAAATTGTGTACTCTTATTAATGACTTGATTTCCCAAAGTTAAAATCCCCCACTAGATCTATTACTAATAAAATTTCACTCCATGTATTCGATTTTAGATCTACTCAAACGAAAACTTTTAAACCCTAAGGTTGACCTCCATAATTCAAGTTTTCCTTCAACTCCCCTTTAGTCTTATCAGCAAAAAGCATATTATAGGGCACATACTTTTGTAAATGTCTAGTAAGAACATCAATGACTAAAGCAAAAAAATATGAACTTAAAGTTGATCTTTGGTGTAATCCAGCTTAAAAAGAAAAATACTTAGTCAAATCACCTTCTGTTTGAACACAAGTAACAGCTCCTGCATACATATCCTTAATAACTTGAACATAAGCATTATTAGCTCTATTCTTCTCCATAACTCTCCAGAGCACTTCTCTTTGAACATATCATATGCTTTCTCCAAATCAATAAAGATCATATGTAGATCCTCTTTACTCTCTTTATACTAACCTCCTAATAAATGTATAGCTTCCATAGTAGACCTTCCCATCATGAATCAAAATTGATTTTGAGAAATATTAGTATCACATCGTAACCTAAGCTCAATAACTCTCTCCCATAATTTTAATATATGACATATTAACTTAATTCTTCTATAATTCGTACGCTACTGTGCATCACATTTATTCTTAAAAATAGAAATCAAAACACTCCTCCACTCATCTAGCATCATTTTAGTTCTCAAAATAATATTGAAAATTTTTATAAGTCAAGAAATTCTTTTATCTCCTAAGCATTTTCATACCTTTCTTGGAATATCATCAGGTCCAACAACTTTTTCACACTTCATTTTCTTTAAAGCCTCCTAAACTTTGATTTTACTAATACAATGAAATATATATATATATATATATATTCATTTAGGGTGTTAAGGTTACTATGGTCAATCCTAACATCACAATCTTCATTGAAAAACTTATCAAAATATCTCATCTACCTTTGTTGAATATCCTCTTCAAATAAAATCACTTTTTAAACTTCATTCTTAATGCACTTTACTTGAACTAAATTCTTACTCCACCTATCTCTTTGTTTGACAAACTTATACATACATCTTTCATCATCCTTAGTATCTAATCTATTATATAAATCATTAAAAGCTATATCATTTGCATAGCATATTGTTTTTTTAGATTCATTACGGGCTCCTTTATATATTTCCCAATTTTTTAAGTTTTTATATCCAAACAAAACTTTTTACTTTTTATATTTTCCTGCACATTTTGATTTCACCACCAATTATTTTACTATTATGGGTTTTTTCTTTTGATACTCTAAATACATCATTTGCAACATTATTAATATCACTGGCTACTTTTTTTATATAACTTTAAATTCCTCATGCACAGTTAAAAACTCAAGATCTTGAATCTTACTCTAAAAATATTTTTGCTGCTGATTTTTAAATGTCCTCATCTAATCCTATGATAATATTTTAGTTTATTTTTCATATTTCACTCCATCTTAAAGTCCAAAACTAATAAGTGATATTGGGTACATAAACTTATTCAAAATAACTTTACTATCTTTGCAATCTATTTTTTAGTAAGAAGACAAAACGATTTAGAAATAGGAAAGAAAAGAGATAAGTGATGACTTATAATCAAGTTAGTTACATAAGAAATGAAGATAGTACGATTTTAATTAAAGATGGGGGCATCGACGGATGTGGAACTACTACTAAGAAAATGATATCAGAATTTGAAGAAACAATTTTTAAAAAAGAGCATGATGAACAAAATAATAACTTATATTCTAAATAGATCCATAGAGTTACCTATAAAGAAGATGAATTAATATAAAACTTTATGTTTATGTGAGGTGTTTCTTAAAATTTGGAAAATTTAGAGGTTAGATATATTATCAGTTTGGTTAACAAATCTTTTTGACGAAATATTGAATATGAAAAGGATGTTAAATGAATGGATAAAAAAATATTTTGGTACAAATATTTAAGAACGTGGAAGAAGTTAATACAACAACAACAACAACATCAAGCCTTTATCCCACTACGTGGGGTCGGCTACATGAATCATTTTTCTCCATTGTGTTCGGTTAAAAGTCAAATTCTCATTTAATGGATTAAAAAAATACTTTGGCTCAAGATTATGGAAACTATATAAAAAACCAAACTTTGAAAGCTAACTATCATATCATGCATGTCATTATATTTAATTTAAATTTGAACTTAAACACATTTAAAATCTATCGTATCATGAACATCATTATTTTTAAATTTAAATATGACATATGATTGAAGTTCAAGCAAGTTAACCTCAACTCAAAATATTAAATTTTGATTTCAAACTGTACCAAGTTCAACTCCAGCAAAAAATGATATATTTTTTAGAGCACTTGAGCAAGCAAATTCTTCTAATTTAAAAAACAAAATTTCTCAATTTCTAAATTGATTATATACACACACACACATAACTGCAAATGTATGTATGAAATACAAATATATTATAAGATATATTATTTGTATAAATGAGAGAAGATACATGCATAAATGTATATTTCATATGAATCAGGTTAATCTTGAGCTGATTTAAAATAATTTTAAGCAAGCCCAATTTTAGTCAAAGCAAACTAATTTTGAATTCAAGTGTGGTTTATGCTTCTAATAAAATTGACAGGCCTTTAGATGATTCAATTTGAATATAACAATTATAATTAATATTTAAGTATCATATCACGCATGTTATCATGTTTAAATATGAATTCAAATTCAAAACTACATCTAGATTACCTCTACTAAGGGTGGGTTCCATAGGCGAGCGCTCTAGACTACTATCTCAGCAAGTACTATGTTAGACCGGCCCATCCTGGGCCGGCTGGACCGGTCCAACAGGGACCGGTCCGCTGCTACGCGAGGCGGACGCGAGAGACGGGCGGAAGCCGCGAATCCGCGTGAGCACGTGAGGGGGGTTTTAGGAGGGAAAATTTGAACGTGTAAGGCTCTTTTAGGAAGTTCGTAATGGTCCTTTATGATGAATTTTATATAAGGAGGAGTTTGGGGGGAGATTAGGTTATCTTGAATTTGAGTTTTCCCTTTGAGATCTAGTTTTTGTCTTGGGCTCTTGGCTTTGCCGGAGATCGTTGGAGAGTTCTTCCTTCCTCTCGAATTGAAGGAAAGTTGTATCTTGCAAGTGCTTTTAATCCTCTATTGAAATAAAAGTGTTTGCAATTATTTTTCCTACGTTTCTCCCACGTTTTCTCTCAGATTTTCTCTGGTTTGGGCTGTTTTCCTGCTGTGGACAGCAGTTTTTCTTTATTTGATACTTGATTTGGGTTAGGATTGCTTGTGAATACAAGCACTTCCTATCATACTACTTAGTCGGCGGGTACCCCAGGCAAGTGCACTCAAGAGGTTGTGTAATTTAAACGAGAATCTCAACCCTAAATCCCTCAATCAGTTTCAACAATTTAGAATCGAGGTCCAAGTTAAAGGGTTCTTTTAAGCAACTTGATATTAATCAAGTAACTTGCCGAATTCAATGCTTCATGTGACTTTTGTGCAAGTGAGTTTCAAGTTACAGGTGGTTCAAGCCAATTCAATTTTTAGTTACTTCTAGGACATCACTCAAGTTCGCATCATGACTTAATTAACCTAACTTAAGTGAATATGGGTGTCCACTAGCTTTTTATTTTTTTCTCCTCTAAGAAGAGGATAAAGATAAGAAAATCAAATATCAAGAAGTCCAATTAAGCATGGGTGCCTCAGTTTGCAATTGAATTGACGTAGAGAATCACATAATGTAGCATTCAATTTTTTTTTTAATGTGTGGGTATGGCACATCAAAACTAACATCTATAAATTCAATATTTTTCAATTTTCACTTCATTTTTGAATTTTCTTGCACAAGAATTTAAAGTAGTCCCTTATCTTTGTTTCCTTAGAGCTTTTCATCTTCCAGAATGAAGAAATTCAAGTGAGCCTCTTGGTTTATCAATCACCGATGAACTACTTAAGTGGTTCACTAACAAAGCTAACAAGAGGAAATCTTCGTCGACAAGATAGCTCCACTGAAGAAAATAATGTAGAAAAGACTAAAGAAAGCCATGAGAACTCGAGTTTTCAATTGGATAAGGCAACATCAAATGAAGTGAATATGTGGGAATAGATGGTGAAGGTTTTGAAAAATACCCAAAATAGTGAGAATAAGGTTACAACATCTCCGACTAAAAAGGAAGGTGGCGAACTCAAATTCAAGTGAACAAATTCTTTCATGTTTGACCTAATGTCTACTACCCAAGGAAATTTATGGGGAGACTTCTCAAGTTCTTACTGTCGCTATTGCTAAAATAAGGAGCAAGTTCCTTGAAGTTCCTCGAAGTTGCTAAGGGTGTGCATACTAACGCGATAGCTTCTAATGGGGCCTTGATGCATATTGGTGTTGTTGGTGACATGGAGACTACAATAGATGATGAACTTATCATAGATGCCAAAGAGATAATTATTAAAAAGCCAGGGCCTATCAAAGTTGTCAGTAATGTGGAGAAAAATGCTGAGATCGAGAGCAAGGAGGTTATTTAAGAAAATAAAGTTCTACCAGGATGGAAAGATAGACCTAAGAAAATTGAGTTTGATAAGATTTCTAACAAAGAGGAGTGTGAAGCTCTTGCAGCCGAGATGATGGAAGATTCTAAGGTGGCTATCCCAATGGATAAGTCGCCTAAGAAAGAGAACAAGTTAGAGATCTACAAACCATATTTCAAGAATTCTTAATCAAATTTGACTCATTGAAGAAACTGGAGATGAGCTTTAAGTTAGCAAGGAGATCTAGAAGACAGTTGAATGAGCAAATTAAAACAATTAATTGTTGAGTAAAAATTCATCAGGGCCAAATTTATCAGACAGATGAATGGAATCAACCCAACCAGAGGCAAATATGAACTTGCTCATCGAAAGTAGCCCAACCAAGCCACCAAAATAAAGTAATATTCAAGATCTAGAAGGAGAAGGCAAAAAGATTATGATTGAGTTCATCCTGTTGACGATCTTGTGAAACCACAAAAATGAATCGATTCATTGCTTGAGTCACGTTCATGCTTTGTCAGCTAATTCAAGGAGGTTATCCCCACTACTTAGTTGCCCTAAACACCACATAAAGTTGCTTGCTAGAAGAATTGTTTTGTCTCTTAACAATTTGTTCAAAAGAGTCTCTAGCTGGCCCGAGTCATCCTCTAGAGCAAGGATATGCACCTTAATTTTTTTCTTATATGCATTTTAATCTTTTGTCTAAAACTTTCGCAAAAGGAAAGAAAGTTGGTCAGAGTATTACTTTATCTTTTCTTGAACCGGATGTTGTACAAAGTTTATACTTAATAAAAACATGTTCATTTTTCTTATATTTTATCTATAGTTACAAAAAGAAAAAAAAAAAGAATTATGTGTATATCTTACTTCAATTAAAATTCTTCATATCTATTTAACTTGATTTGGTTAAAGTTGAACTTCAAGCAATAGTTGTCCTCTATGGTAAAATCCATTCTTCACCATGAAGTTGGCACATTGTCATGAAATTGAAAGCTTAACTAAAGAGTCAACAGGTTAAAGCAATTCAAAAGAGTTTTCGATGAACGTCATTTGAACTTGCCGGACACATTTTTGTTGATGATCAAATATTTAAGGGTATTTGGTTGTCAAATCAATAATCATGGTGAAGATTTTAAGAATCAACAACTTGAATTTATACAATGGTTTGGGTTTCAAGTCTACTTTCATATATATAGGAAATTCATTGAAGATGATGACTTGCGTGATGAAATATCTAATAAATTTTGGGAAGGCGTAGTAGAGTCTAAGTTCATTGACCAAGGTTAAGCATATTGGGAATTTTCTAGATAAGTTCAAGTAAAATAAATTTTAATAGAACTAGGGGAAACGGAATAAATAAAAATAATAATAAACGACAAAATAAAAATAGTATTTGAATTAATTTTATGCTAAACTAACATGTATTGTCATTCCAAAATGATCACTCCTGAAGATTTCTAGAAATAATACAACTCCAAATGAGGAGTTATGATAAAATTGTCTGATGATCAACATTTAAAACTAGGATTAACTCTTGATATTGTCACAACTTTTGGAATACTTCATATATGCACGATCTACTTATAATGCATTCATAAACAACTCTATGCCTTAAATTTCAACTCCTAGAATTTTATACGACCTTAACATTCAAATATAAGGATTTCATGTTGATGAAAGCCAATGAATTGTTAGGATTATTATTTTAATTTAAAAATATTAGGTCATTGATTCATAAAATCACATATCATTCATTTGAATAATAGAATAAATTTATTGTTTAGTTAAACAAATAATATGATATGCACAAGGCTGTAAAAAAGATACAAATTGTCATCAAATATACATTTCCATCATATGAAAGTTTTTTGCAGTAGTATCAGTTCATCTTCAGCCTCAATTTCTCTAATCCAACACACAAAAATAGATTGATGAAACACTAGAGGCAGTATGGCAATAATAATCTTAATATTCAGATTTATCATATCAAATTTGCTCACAAAAAGATATTGGTCTCCAATCCCCATAAAATGACTAAAATCAATAAAGACTCTGCAATTGAAGGTCATAGAGCACTTGGGATATTGGAATAAAATTCTACATTTTCTATAGCACTTGAGGTGATCTAAAATATGGCATATAACAAATTTAAGCAAGTTAATTTCTTAAAAAATAAAATCTTCAAATAACCAAAAAGGAAGAATACATGATATAAACTTTAAATTGTACAAAGACAAAGCATATATAGGAGATCTTCCACTTTATCTGCATAAAAAGGCAATGGTGAGCAGGTTTCAGAAGTAAAGAAATATCTGGCCCAATTCATGGCTTAAAAGAATCCTTTTTGCATGTTACAATTGCATGCCAAGTGACATTGCTATTATCTAGCCCTTCTTTTTTGTCGCATCACACTATCTGTGAATAAAAAGGGGCGTCGCCAATGCATTAGGCTCCCACAAAAGATCTTGAGAGCAAATCCTATATTCCAAAGAGGTTTTTTCCATGATTCGGACCTGTGAACGTTAATTAATGACGATACAACCTAAACCGTCACCCTAGCACTACCCTCTAATTGTTTTTGTTTAGACAAGATCGGGTAATTTATCCTAGCTATATGTGATCGGCTACACGAACCTCATTTTTCATTCAATCATTCTGAAACAAAAATCTCCGGTACTTTATCAACTAGAACTCAGGAAATTCCAATCATGCAAGAGATGGCGAGAACAAGTTACCATTATTATGTTAAGATCCTCCTGGGGAATATTCTCCAAGGAGACCTGCTTGATTGCAACAAAATCTCCATTTTTCAGGTCAAGCCCCTTATAAACGCGACCGTAGGCTCCCTTGCCAATCTCATCTCCAAGTTTCTAACAACAGACCATAATAATAACAAGAAGCCTTCAAAGAATCAGAATTCAACTAGACAGCTGGAAACAAAAAAAAAGCTCACATATTTGTCATAAAGGGTTTTCGATTTGTGGAATTGAGCGGTTGTGGGGCTCCGAGACATCTCCCGAACAGTCTCTTTGCCCCAGGAACCCTGGATTTATAATGCTTCCAGCCCTAGCGCATCACCAGATTAAACATAACTGGAAGCGAAGCACGTTTCAGATAAGCAAAAGAGGCGTCCAGATAAGAAAATAAATGGAATCTGGGCTTTTCTTCTTCAATCGCCGGAGAAGCGGAGGACTGGAACCTCAGTCGATCGGACTGCCAAGGACAAAAATTAGGGTGCGAAGCAAGCAGTGCCGGCGTTGATGATTCTAGGAAGCGAAAGTGTAATGAAAGCGTTCGAGCTCCGTTTTCCACCGAAATAGCGAGACGAGTCGGGTGGCAAGAACAGCGCTTGAAATTATTCCGTGAGGTGGTCGAGGTGGCTATGATGGCGTTGATGGCCGGTGGGTCTAGACAGCCGGGTGCTAAATCCAAAGCGCAATGGTGGGTCGTTAACGGGCGCGAAATGCTGTACTCGGTCCACGCCGGTCACAGATTCAAAGCACGACTCTGGAAGCCAGTTGTATGTAGCCATCCAGCCAGAATTCCACTCAGGATGTCAAGCCCAGCTGTCCGTTTAAAGGAAGTTTTATTTGGTCCGGTGGATCGAATGAGAGAAACATTTGGTTGCAGGCAAAATTCCGCTGTATCGAGGTGTACCGAGTTTTTCGAAAAAAACTCGGTACACCTCGTTACAGCGGAATTTTGCCTGCGACCGGATGTTTCTCTGCATCCGGTCGGAGGACGTAATAATTGTTCCCGTTAAAGATATAAATACAACTTCCCAAAAAAACAAATGTAAATATATATATTTTCTCAGAATGACCGAAACTGCATTACCAAATGTAAATATATATTTCCCAAAAAATATAAATGTAAGCTTCATCAAGGTTAAGGTTTCTGAAACTATTTTTTTGTTGCTTCTTAAAGCAGTTTTTAAATATAATTTTTTTTAAAAGTTGTTTTAGCCTAAAATGATACAATAGAACATTTCAATATTATTTGTAAAAATATGTTATAATTCTAAGATATATTTGTAAATGGTTCCAATAAAATTTGAACAATAATCAAATATAGCTCAAAATTATTGGACCTGATAGAGTATAATTTGTTACATCTATCACATCACAATGAGAAGCTTAGCATTGATACAAAATCCATATAAAATCATTTCGATAAAACTAAATACAATCATTAGATATATTTTGAAGATTTCAAAATGTAATGGTTTGTGTGTAACAAAGCATGACTTATAAGAACTGAGTGTATTTTAAAAAAACTAATGTAAATTGATGACATCCATAACGTGTGATATATCATCTAAAATTATTTTGATCGAGAACAAATCTCGAGGGAAAATCAAGTTGGAAACTTTAAAAATTAAATCGGAGATCGTCTGAACTTTGATTTCAGCAAACTTATAATCGAACTGAACGGCTCGAGAATATGAACCCAACAACGCAAAATTCGACTTAATCCTATCCCAAATGGGTCTAAATCAAAGATCTGAAGCGCATTTGAAATGTTCATATCATAATTTGGATTACCAAATGGTTTTCGAACATGACATGATTATACTCTAATCAAGCGGCTCGATGAGGCAAATCCAACGAGCCAAATATTGTCAAATTTTGATAACATTAAGACATTCAAATGCCCAATAAACAATCCTTGATTGAGGGATTCAACATCGACTATTCATTCAAACTACTCCCAATTGACCCTTGATATTCCTCTTATTTACCGGTCATGCCACTCACAGAAAATTATAAATAGACTCCTCATTCCTCGTGGAAAAAGGAGGAAGAAGAGGAACCCAAGCAAGGAAGATAAGGAAAAGAAGAAAGAAGAGAATCTTGAATGCTCTTGCCACCAAACTCTTCGACCACCGACAAACTTCCACCCGGCATCCATCTATCACATCACATGCCAGACTTTAGCCCATCGTCGGATTTCTACCCGACGTCGGACTTTCGCCTGTCGCCGGACTTATACATGTCGTTGGACTTTCAACGAATTTCAACCCGATGCTGAACTTCCGTCCTTTACCAAACTTCCAACCGATGCTAGACTTTTGCCTGTCGCCGGACTTATACCCGTCGTCGGACTTCTGCCCATTGTCGGACTTTCTTTAGACTTCTCCCTGACGCCAAACTTTCATCCACTGTCAGACTTCTACCATACACCGAACTTCCTCCCGTCGTTGGACTTTTGCCCGTCTCTGGACTTTCATTGGACTTCCACCCGGTGCAAAATGTCTGCCCATCGTCGAACTTTCGACCTCTGTCACTGAAAAACTACGGGCCTTCCGACATCCGTGGCCATATGATCTTTTTGGCCACTATCGACCGTCGACTACGGTACTTTCGCCCTCCATAGCCAGATTTTAATTATAATATTATAATTTTATTATTAAAAATGTAAAATCACGTTATATTGCTTAAGACATTTTCCTTTCCTCCATTCATCTTAACAGGTATAAATATATATATATATATATATATATATATTTTTTTTT